CTCTGAGAATAGAAGCATTTCTATTCAGGTAATGGTGTTCCGCTAGAACCCCACGTGACTGATAGAATCATTGAATGAAGCCTGTCAGCCTAAGAGTCGTAATTCTCTGACCAAATTTGCAATAGGTCAACGCATTGACCTGGTTGCGTCTATGCTATATGCGTCCAATTCAAGAAGAGAATATACATTCTTCCTGCATTAGGTTATACCTGCTGTATGGAACGTGACAGCTAAGGAATCCATCACAGTGAGGAGCACCTTCAACGCACATGTTAGAGCAGACTGTAAAGCGGAATGGCGTGATTTGGAGGAACGGTCCTAGCGATCTTAAGAATAACGGCATGAGGTTGTTGGGCTTTTGTGTAAATGTCGAATTGTCTCTTATGAGCACCTTCTTTGAGCATCGAAACGTGCACAAGTATACCTGGCATAATGAAGTTTGTGTACAGAAGTTAATGATCGACAATCCTCACTCATTAATAATTGTTTTGCTCGCGACGCCCTGTAAGGCATGTTTGCTCTATCACGTGATTACTACCTTGTCATTGGCACCATGAGATTACTCGCGAAGACATGGCGATAGAAAGAATCAGAAAAATCAAACGGAATTGTGTACGAATATACGGGTGAAACCAACCAAGAGTACCTCAAGACGGCTCGAACAGATCCAAGCGATGAAGACTAATGCAGAAACCTAGTGCAATCACTTTAAAAGTAGGCTGATCATGAGTACCGTTTAACCGAACGGTTTGAAATGCGTTGAATTGCAGACTGGGGGCTAGAAACAAACTTTCTGCCGGATGCCAAAGTTTCAAGCTGGTTGTAGTCATAAGAAGGCTGTTTGCAAGAGGTGGCTTCGTAGAAGAAGGCCTTCTAATGTAGTACCAAGAATCACGTACGGCGACAGCCATAGCTGTGGATAAAGCGAAAGCTGATTCATGGAAATGTTCAGCGAGTAGCTGAAGTACAATTTCTAGAAGATAACCAAAATATTCTAATCATTGCCTACAAGATGCAAATACAGGCAGTCTAAGAATCGTACAGGACACGTCGGAATGACGTCCTACCAAGTAAGAGCACTTTCGCGATGGAAAAAATACTTTGAGGAACTTTTTAACCCCAAGCAAACGCAGAACGACTCTCTTTATGAGCATCCGAGAAAAAATACCAATCTCTCAGCATTGGAAGCTGTAAAAAGTTTGAAATATAGGAACACACTGGAATCAATAAAATCAGCTTTAAGTCCTTAAAGTTTGAGACGAACAATCTATGTTGT